GGGCAAAGCCTCGAGGGTTGGGATAAGGGCAGGTTACTGGGACAGCAAGGGAGAGGGAAACAATCAGCAGCAGTGCTGATAACAGATAGTAACAATGGGTGATAACAGAGAACGATTTACCGATCCCACCACCGACCTGACACTCAGCCTGTCCCAGAGCCCGCCCCTGCCCGACTAGCCCCCTTTTATGGTGAGCATGACATCACATGGTATGGAATAGCCCACGGCCAGCAGGGCTCACCTGTCCTGGCTCCTTGGGAAATTAACTCTAGCCTTGCCAGAACCAGGACAATAAGCATCCCTTCATTTTATTTCATTACATGGATGGATTTGTATTTTTCATTGACTGAGTCTTCTGTTGCTTTGCTTTAATTTAGACCTGGAAGAAATTTTCATGGCACTTGTTCAGATTGTTTAAAGAGTTTTGATTTGCAGTTCTGGTATGTTTTCCCCTTTAAAAGGATGAGTATATATATATGCTCTGCCATAGCTGTTTTTTCTTTTTTGTCCAGACTTTGGTTCTAAGCCTCCATTGTTATGGGTTTGGTATTTTTCTTTGGTTTGTTGTTGTGGTTTTCAGGGTGGGGGTGTTGGTGTTTGTTAGTTTTCTTGTTTTTTCTTTGTGGCTGTTCCTGTTTTGCACTTGTTTTGTTGCAGTGGAGCCTGAGACTGAAAGACAAATGGTAGCAACTGGTAACTTCCAGACAGAATTATTTTATAATCTGGCAAAATCTGAAAAGTTAAATTCTCCACAGGGAGCAATGTGAGGTTTGACCAAATGCTGCAGGGAATTTTTTTTTGTTTTTATTAGAATACATTGCTCCTTACTGGGAGAGAGTGTGGGCAACTAGAAAAATCTCACAAGGAAAAAGGGGAAAGTTTTAGTACCAATAATACTATCTAGTCAAGTTTTCCTGTGGAACTTGACTGCTGCTTCTTGTGATTTTTGTATAATTCTTCAGCTAGAACTGTACCATTGATGCTTTTCAGTGCCTAGAAATGCAAAACATTGTACTGACTGCATGTTGAGCTGTCATGCAGATCTTTAAAGGTGAAAATAAGCCAGGTGGGGCTTATTTTTGTCCAGGAGGGGCTAAGTAGGACCAATTAGGGCTCACTGCTGTGCTGTAGTTAGAGTAATAGTGTAAACTTGTAGTCATTATTTTCTTCACTGTACAAAGTCAATTAAGTTGTGGTGAATAGGTAGGTAGTCATTATGGGCTAACAGTCTTTCACCTTTATAGAAGGTAGGATGAATACAGAAGACATCACTGATGGCAGCATCATGATTTCTAATCCTTAGAAATATTTTAAACACCTAACCCCAAATATTCTTAATGTGACCTGATACAGCGATGTCCTCCTGAGCATGTGGATGGTCTGAAACACAGGCTTATTGATAGTTAGACATCTCCTTTTTCATCTGAAATGTGCCGTAGTCCTAGAGGTAAATCTTGACATTGCTTTGATATACCTAATAAAGAGCATAGTTGAAGGGTTAAAAAAGAAAAAAAGAGATTGATTAGCTTTAGACCAATAGGAGTTGGTAGGGAACAGGCACATGCAGTATCCCTGTTTTTCTCAGGAAAGAATCTCTGCAGCAGCTGGTGAAATCAGCTTTTGAAATCATTTTGCCCTACCTGCAGAACAAAAGCTGGTCTTTTCACTGGAGATCTTAGGGTTCAATCCAAGCTCTAGAAGCTGAATGCAAACATATGAGCATACGAAAAAGATGACTTGCATGATGAACAGATCTTTTGCATCATCAATCTAGTAGCTGCCTGTTACTTTAGCTTTTATGGCAAAGAGGAATCAGTAAGTTAATAGTGAAGTAATTGTGAAGTTAAACTGGTAGTATGAGCTGATTTTGCATTGTAAGTTGTTCCTCTCCTACTGAAGGAGAAACGAAATGAGGATAATGGAGAGTATTAGCTGTGAATGAATTTGAAATTGAGGAAGAGTGTTTGATTGGATTCCCCTCTCTTTCCAAAAGGACCAGAGTGATGCTTATTTCTGGAACATTTTTCATCAGTTTGGAAGATAAGAAAGGCTGTTTGCTTTGGCTGGTGAAGTTATTATAGAGTTCTAAAAGGTTCTGGATTAATTTGAGAAACAGTGGGAAGAATTTCCAGTGTGTATAAAATTATGCAAATCACTTTCAGACTTAAAGAAGGACCTATAGAGGACACCACAGCTACACTTGAAATCTTCCTGTATGCTACTGTTACTCTTCATAAAATACTGTAGTGAACAGCAAGCAGTAGACAGAAAGGACTTTTTTACCGTCCGTAAGCGAAAGTATTGAAATTTATGGAGAGACCTTTTTTGGTGTGACTGCTCTGAACAAAGCAGTTGTTGTCCTCTGAGGGGTGAATCACATTTTCTTGGAGATAAAGCTGAATATCAGGAACTTCTGGGTTGAGTGGAACAGTGCCAGTTTTTCCATTTGGACATTATTGCTTCCAGCCATCCAAAAATCCCTCTGTACTTATCATACTCATGCTGTGCTGTGCTGACTTGCAACACTAGAAAAAAGTGAAAAATAAAAGCTCACGTTTCACCTCTGGTACTGCTCCACAGCAGTAATCCCTTTGCTTCAGGAGGACCTTCTGTCTGAAGAAGTGAATGCTTTTGTAACAATTATTCTCTACGCTCTCCTGTGAGTATTCCTTTTTACAGCCAGGAGAAATCAAAGCCTTCACTTTCTTCCAAAGCTTCATTGAAATAATACTCCAATGTCTGCTTCCTCATCCTTTCATATGACCCAAAAGATTGCTCTTTTCTCTATATACTGTAAAATTCTTTACTAATTATGTGTGACACTGAATTTCCAGGCACAATATCTCAAGTGACTTGATGACAAGTTGCTTAACAATTTCAGAGAGTCATGACTTTGAATTAAGGATAGTTTGTTAAAGTGCTTAAGAATAATCGTGAACTTACACACAAAAAGTGATCTTGTATTCAGTGGGAGTGTTCGTATATTTAAAGCTAGGCTAAAAGTGGAATGCCTTTTTGAATTGAGATCTGAAAAGTGAAGCGCATCTCTAAAATCCTATTCCAGACAGCTGCCATGAGACTGAACTAGCTCCTGCCTTGATAAATAGCACCAATATTTTCATGTTTTCTCTGAAACAACACTATAACACAGAGGTTGCTGTAAATATGTTTTATAATGTACTTGGTTCTTGTTTTTATTCAGTGTAATGTGTGTGAACCCCAGAAGTCAAAGTTGGGTAGGGCAAAAAAGCCAAGAGATTTGCTGTTGCTTATCAAATACTAAATGTGAGTGGGTAAAGGGTTTACTGTTTGGTGCTCAGGAAACCATTCAGCTGAGAAACAAGTATAGAACTTGGGTTTTGGTTTTTTTTCTCTTTCTTTTTCCCCTTAACACCTGATAGTGTCATATGGACTTTGACTACTGGTCTATATAATAAGAAAAACACCTCAGATCTGTTGAGCTGACTGATACTGTAACGCTTCCCAGTGTATATTGGATTGGCATGAGAATTCCCTTCTGACAGTCTTTTTGCCACCTAACCACCAGGGTACATCTGTCTAGTACTATTAAATTTTGAAACTTAATTATTTTGTTTTCCCTACCCTCTAGAGGTATTAAAGAGCAAGTTAGACTTCTTTCTATGCAGAATGTTAACTTTTTGTTGGTGTTTTTTCCCAGTGATTTCTAATCTGTGAAAAAATACCAACTTTAGAACCATACCCTACAAGGTGCTCTGCGTGTTTGATTTTATTATCTGTAATAACAAGTTACTTTGCTTTTCATGGTATGTTTGTCCTGTAACCAAATATTGGCCTCCTTAGTTGAGGAAAAAAACCCCAACCAAAAAACCCCAACTCCAACAAAAGAACACACAAAACCAAACCAAAACAAACAGAAAAAGCATGATTTTTCTAGTTGATACTGGATTCTTTGTAGTATGGAAGCCTGCAGATAGATACTCCTGTTTTTACCTGCTATTGCCAATATTTTGTTGTAGTTGGGTTTTTTTGTCGGAGGGGGGGTGGGGGGTTTTTTGTTTGGTTGATTTGGTTTGTGTTGGGGTTTTTTTTTTCTTGAGGACCTAATAGCTGGGATTGCAGAAGTATGTCTAAAGTGATTTCAACTTCTATTTAATGCACAGTAACTTTCTGGTTTCTAGCATAACTGCAAAGGGAGATTTAAAAGGATGAAGTTACTGTGTTCTAAGGACTTGGAAAGCAAATGACAAGACTCCAAACTCATTATTAAGAGAATACAAATAAAATCTATGATTTTAAAACCAGTTTCACAGTTTTTGTAAATTAACAGTTGGAAGCATGATGTTACTATCATCTGTGGTTTCCCAACAGAATTATTTTTTTATGTTTCTGGTTCATTGAAGTGATTTCTCTCACTGTAAATTGTAAGAACTCACCTGCTTAGCATAGGGCTAATGAAGCCATGGTATTAGGGTTTATTTCAGTCTGACATTTTCCCAGTGATTTCTGTATTTGTGCAGTTTTACATTATTTTCTGTTCCCAAATTTGTTTGGATTTGGTTGTGTTTAAAGATTAAGGGCATTTTGTTTTGGAGGGCTCCCAGGGAACACAGCTTCCTCTGTAGCTTCCTGTGCTTTCATCCCATTCAGCTCCCAAAGACAGCTTGCTTTTAAGTTACTTTGAACAAGTGAAGTAGAGCAGTAGCGATATGTGAAGATATATCTAGAGCTTTACGTGTATTGTTATACTGTCCTATTTATTCCTTCTGGTAGCTGCTTTGTTTGGTGAAGTGTTGTCCAGTATCGCTGTATGATGTCAGTTAATATATTGTGGGACTGTTAAGTGAATTTTTAACATGCTTGCTTTTTGCTTTTTTTTTTTTTTTTTTTCTTTTTGTGAACCCTCTATTAATTAATTCCTGTTCCCAAGTAGGAAGAAAGAATGCAAGTGCTGGAAACAAATGTCGTTTAAGCCAAGTTGCGATTGCTGTTAGTAATGGTGCCTCTCACTTTCCCCCCAGGTTGTTTGCATCCGTTCTACATGGAAGGCTCTGTCACCCAAGCTGAGCTGTGATACAAGACCCCTCATTTTAAAAACACTGAATGAATTGTTTGCCCTGGTTCCCTCGTTAACAGTGAATACAAACGAATATGAGGTATGTACTCATGGACTAAGGTGAGTATCTTCTTTTAGTGTGTCTTTGTATCTGAGTTTTAAATGTGCCTGCTTGTTTTTTAATATCTTTAAATTGCACCCATTGTCTAATTCAACTTAATCATAATGCACATTTCTATAATTTCACAATTTTAGCTTGCCTTAGTGCATCCTAGGAGATAGGTGAGAAATTCCAGTCCAAAGTTGATTTCACTCACCCATAATATGAGGACATGTGAATGCATCTACAGTACAGACCCGCGCCCTTTCCACTTTCCTAGTTTAGTGCATGTTGATGTGGCAGCAGTTTGTTTCAGGTAGCTGCCTTTATTTCAACTGCTTATCTGGTTAAAGAAAATCTGAATGCATGTTTTGTTTGCTTTTATAGAAATTCAAAGCTCAAGCTCTCAGCTTCCTTTGGAACAACACACAAAACAAGGTAGGTGACACAACTGAAAATGTTCATTCCTGTTGTCAGCAACTGGGTATTAAGTTTTATACCTTTTTGTCGAGAAAAGGTTATCAGTGTCAGCAATCTCATTTTCTAATAGAGTTTTATTCTTGTCATTGACCATTTAACACTGTTTTTGAAGCAATGTAATGCACATGAAAAGTAAGTGATGGTCCTAAGGTCTGCCTCCTTCCCAAGGAGAATTGTGACATTGTGACACAATGTAGTTTGACTCCTCTGGTAGACTTTAGCCTTGACGTGGTGAAGCATTCTTGACAAAGCTGCAGCTGTGACAACTCAGTTCTTTGGTGGGGTATTGTAACACAGTGGGAATGTTGGACAATCACCACCATGGGTCTGGTGGAATCAAAGTATTTTAGTTTAAATATAACTCAGATATTTCTACATAAACTACCCTCACAGTAATAATGGAGTGTAGCAATCAGAATGTGTACTATCAAGCCTACACAATTGGTCTTGGTAGTTTGCATTTGTATATATAAAGTAAGCAATTAAGAGTGCACCTTAGGAAAACATTGTTATTTTTAAGTCTTTTTCAGCATTCAGTGGTTAGTAGATAGGCTCTTTGCATATGGAGTTTCCAGTAGGTAGCAGTACCATGTGCTGTGCTTATGATTTTTCTTTTTCTTCCTGTCAATTTTCTAGGATGCCATTGTAGCCATTTCAGCCTATAAATCACTGTCATCATTTGGCTCTGAAGAACATACAATTCTTCATCTTCCTGAACAGGTAGCAATGTTGTACACTTAACAGTAAGGATATCTGACACTTCCACCTGACATGGGTTGTATCTTCCTGGAAGGGAAGTAAGACCTTGTGCCATCTCTACCAGACAACCATCAGAGCCTCTTAGAAGGAATATAAGCTGCTGCTGAAATGGGATGATATGTATTGTTAGCATAAATAAGACTGATGGGAGGGGAAAGGCACACATGGAGGCTGTGTAAGATCTAAGCAGTCAAAAGGTGGTTTTTCTTCTTTCATTAGTTAAATCAGCTGGTTATTTTTTGCACTCCTGACTTGCATTTTATACTCTTTTGTTAATGCTTACAGTTGAGTCTTGACACTAAGCAGCTCTTGTGATTAGTGCTTCATACATTGCAGTCACACTCATGCTTAGTGTTTTTTTCCCTGAAATTGACAAGTCAGTTTGAAAAGTAGGTGCTTTTTTTGAAATTAAGCTGAAAACTTTTCCTGTGTTTCTGTTCTGAACTTTATGAAAATACAAGGTCATATGTGATTTTTTTATTTTTTTTACATTAACTTTGTAAGACAGACTAGACAATAATCAGTAGTCCATTGGTACTTTATGGCATAGTAAATACTGCTGTAAGTTTTTATTTCCTGCATTATTACAATTTACATGTTGTAACTGGCTATTGTGAAAAGGTCAGAATAAGTATCTTTAAAATAAAAAAACCATACTTGATTTATATAAATCGATGAGAAGCAGGAAACTTACAAACGAAAAATGTGTTTTGCATAGAAGAGCATAAGATAGAATAAGGGAATTCTCTAAACATTGCTGCAATACTAAGTCTCTTGCACGGTAGTATGTAGCTCTGTATTACTGATGCTGTTACTTTACAGCTGTTAGAAAATTAGTAAATACGTTTTCATTGAAAGTGTTGCAAATATGTTGCAGTTTTTCAGATTCTGAAAATGAGGATGGAAAAATAACTTCTAGCAGGAATCATAGAATCATTTAGGCTGCAAAAGACCTTTAAGATCATCTGACCAGAAACCTCGCACTGCCAAGTCCACCATTAAACCGTGCCCCTAAGCACCACATCTACATGTCCTTTAAATCCCTCCAGGGATGGTCACTCAACTACTTCCCTGGGCAGCCTGTACCAGTGATTGACAACCCTTTCGGTGAATAAATTTTTCCTAATATCCAATCTAAACCTCCCCTAGCACAACTTGAGGGTGTTTCTTCTCATCCTATCACTTGTTACTTGGGACAAGAGACTAATACCGACCTGGCTACAACCTCCTGTCAGGTAGTTGTAGAGAGCGAGAAGGTCTCCCTTCAGTCTCCTTTTCTCCAGGCTAAACAACCCCAGTTCCCTCGGCCACTCCTCATAGGTCTTGTGCTCTAGACCCTTCACCAGCTTCATTGCTCTTTGGACACACAAATGCTCTCTATATATTAAAGTGCCAATATAAAACATTGTTTTACTCTGTGATTGAAGTAGAATCACATGAAAATGAAGTTTTAGTGATAATAGTTCAGTCCATAAGTGTCAAGATGAATTTTACTATTACAGATATGAATTTACATACCCACGTGATTTTTTATTAACCAGTCTTGCTTTTCATTCGGGTAGAAGAAAAGCTGTTATTCTTTCAGCTTCAAATTAATGAAATGGAGTGAAATTAATGAAATGGAGAACTTTTCCTGTTTAGTTGGGGTTTTTGACACTTGGAATCATGAAAGGTAATGAGGATTTGGAATTTTTGTGTTGACATTTCCTTTTTTTTTTTTTTTTTAAATCTTTCAGGCACGACCAGAGATTGACCCACTGGAGGAGGCAGACATGAAAGAAAATGAAGAAGAGGAGAAGGAGCTGGATCTTGTTGTTCCGGGTTCTTCATATATCAAGCTGTTGACTCTAACGCCAGCTTCTGTTTTAGGAGGTATAATATATTCAGTGTCTGAGATTGCTTTGCACATTTATAATCACAGTGACTGTACAGACATGTGACTTTAATGTGACACTCCATTATAATAAAGTGCAGCCTTTTTTTTTTTTTTTTTTTTTCTTTTCTTCCCCTTTTCTTCCCTTGGGAAAATATCTTACCTGTTACAGGAAAAGCTGTGAAGTAAAAGTTCAGAGGAAAACAAAACCCTCAACCCATTTTTAGGAAGACAGCAGGTCAGAGGTGCTGATGGTGGAAAAAATGCTTAAAACATATTTTAAAAATCCTTCTTTCTCCTATAGTTGCTTATTATTTACTTCAGGTGCCCATTGTTTTATCACAGTGCGTCTTCAGTGGGGAGGACTAAGCAGTTTTAAAGGCAGCTCTGTATTTTTGCCCAACACAGAATGAAAAAAACCCTGAAACTCAAAATCATAGTGTTTTATAAAAGAGAGTAGTAATAGTATTTAAAAAATGCTGTATACAAAATCTAATCAGTCAATCAAGATATTAGTGCTGTGCTTAATGCTCAGTTTTAGTGATGCATACTGATACTGAAGTATGCTTCAACAGATGGTCTGTTTGGGATTTTTAATGTTCACTTGATTACTCTCATTAATGCTATCCTGTACTTCCAGTTACAAGATTGTGACGTTAGTGCCTGGACACAGGCATTGTTATTTCACTGTTTATAGAATGCCTGGGATCATGATGTGTTATTGCAATCTGTAAAGATTTCCCTGAGACAGTAGTAGTATTTTGTAGTATTTTCCCCCAGTGGAGGCTCCTAGAAAGATCCATTCATTAAATACTCTATACATTGGAGTCTGGAGTATGTGCAACCTCCCCTAGAGAAAGAGTCTATATGCACTAATTATCAGGTTCTGGAACCTTTGTGGGGAAGACTGACATAACAGACTTCAACGAGAGAGAGTGATGTATCTGAGCAGAAAACTCGAGCTGCGTAATAGATGCTCAGATAAGCAATTTATCAGGAAGATGAGAAAATAAAATGCACTTCAGACAGAACAGGTTGAATAAAAAGATGCAATGACCACAGACTGATACAGAAACACATGCAAATAACTTTTCCAACCCAAACATTCACTGAATAGATTTTCCCCCAGAGGAGTCTTCATCTTTTAACACTGTTAGCTAATACAGAATACAGAACAGCTGAGTTGGAATTACATCCAATTGGTGGCCAGTCACAAGCAGTGTTGCCCGGGGCTCAGTTTTGGGGCCAGTCTTTTTTAATATCTTTATCAATGATCCAGACAAGGGGATCGAGTGCGCCCTCAGTAAGTTCTCAGACAACACCAAGTTGGGTGGGAGTGTTGATCTCCTTGAGGGCAGGAAGGCTCTACTCAGGGATCTGGACAGGCTGGATTGATGGGCCAAGGCCCATCGATAAACCAGTGAGGTTTAACAAGGCCAAGTGCCAGGTCCTGCACTTGGGTCACAACAACCCCACGCAACACTACAGGCTTGGGGAAGAGTGGCTGGAAAGCTGCCTGGTGGAAAAGGACCTGGGGGTGTTGGTTGACAGCCAGCTGAACGTGAGCCAGCAGTGTGCCCAGGTGGCCACGAAGGCCAACAGCATCCTGGCTTGTATCAGAAATGGCGTGGCCAGCAGGACTAGGGATGTGATCATGCCCCTGTACTCGGCACTGGTGAGGCCATACCTTGACTACTGGGTTCAGTTTTGGGCCCCTCAGTACAAGGCAGACATTGAGGTGCTGGAGCGTGTCCAAAGAAGGTCAGCAAAGCTGGTGAAGGGTCTAGAGCACAAGACCTATGAGGAGTGGCCGAGGGAACTGGGGTTGTTTAGCCTGGAGAAAAGGAGACTGAAGGGAGACCTTCTCGCTCTCTACAACTACCTGACAGGAGGTTGTAGCCAGGTCGGTATTAGTCTCTTGTCCCAAGTAACAAGTGATAGGATGAGAAGAAACACCCTCAAGTTGTGCTAGGGGAGGTTTAGATTGGATATTAGGAAAAATTTCTTCACCGAAAGGGTTGTCAATCACTGGTACAGGCTGCCCAGGGAAGTAGTTGAGTGACCATCCCTGGAGGGATTTAAAGGACATGTAGATGTGGTGCTTAGGGGCACGGTTTAATGGTGGACTTGGCAGTGCGAGGTTTCTGGTCAGATGATCTTAAAGGTCTTTTGCAGCCTAAATGATTCTATGATTCTAAAAGCTTTAGTAACCAGCAAGGGTAGTTGTTGTGAGTAAATTGCTCCACTGAAAGGGGATGAAACTACATTCGTGAAACAATGTCCGAGATAAGCCAAGAACCACAAGTTCTCTATTGTATTGGAGCTGAATCTGTGCCATATCATCTGCTGGAATCCTGCCATTACAGGAGCATTAGAGTCCACAGGATATCAAAAAGGGTATGACAGCCTCGTTATTTTTTATTTTAATAGTTTTTCATTCTGTATGTCTGAGACTTGTCTGAAACCTGGTAGTCAGAGAATAAAAATAAGCCCGTATAACAAACTGTAAACTTCAGACAACAGCATTATTATTATTGTTATTGTTATTGATTCTGTTTGTATTATTTATATCTCTGCAGGAATATGATAACAATTTTGTTCCTGTAATGTTAGTTACCTCTTTTTTTTTTCTTTCAGACTGATCGCAAGCTTTAAATTATGATACTCTAACATTTGCTGCACATCTAGGTGTCTCATTAAATTTATCCAGATTTTCGAGTTATGTCTGGCAGTCTAGGTCCTTAGGTGGTATCTCTTGCCTGAAGAATTGCTTTTGAGTGGCTTGTAAGTATTAAGTCCTTTGACATAACCAGCAAGTGCAGCAATATGACAGCAGTATTACCTATGCTAGGGTGTCTTGTCAATAATGATGGTTACCACCAAAGAACGAGCTGTCCTCTTTCAGAGAATTTCTTCTCTGTTGCTGTAGCCCTGTAAAACAATAAAGCTCTTGTAAAAGTCTAGAGCAGGTAGGTAGATTTAGTTTTGTTGAAGAGTATATAATGTTGAGAATTGCTGAGGACAAAGATTTTATAGTTTCTGTCTGAATCACTGAAGTGAAAATTCCTAACTACTTTCTTAGGGTTTTGTTTGAATAATCTTGGCATTACAGGTGCAGAAAAAAAATTTTACAGATGCAGGTACCCTTCTTGCCATGCTACAAAAACCTATCAGATTTTAGTAGCAGATATTAGCAGATTAGACTGCTACTGTACTATGAAGTTGAATTGGAAAAGTGCATTGCTTAATATTATAGAATTTGCTGAAAATAGTAGATGTGAGGAAGTTACATTATAAAACTATTTCATTCTAAGCTGTCATCGGTATTTCTTGCCTAGAAACGATGAGTGAGTGCCCTTTTGTCTCCTTTGTCCTTTAGTCAAAGCAGGACTGTGTGTGGTTTGAGAACTTGTATGTCAATTTCAAGTGTAGTGTGAAACAGTTGTTATAAATCCCCTTAAAACTCTCTTACAGCAAGCACTAACAGACTTCTAAACAGATCAGGTTTGCAACGTGCTGGTACAATGTTGACTGTCAGATGTGATGTGGTAACAAACACCATGCAGTGATATATATGTACATACATGTACATACAGAAACACAACCCTTTTCTCTAATGTGTGCCTGTAAAAGCTTTTTCAGATTGACTTCACAAATGAACAATACAAAGGAATTCCAGCCACTCCAGCCAGTAAGTCAGCTTCATGGAGCGCTCAACTTAAATGCCTTTATGCAAGTGCACATAGCATGGGGAATAAACAACAGGAGTTAGATGTGTGCATGCCTGCAGGGCTGTGATCTTACTGGCATCAGGGAGACATGGTGGGATGACTCCCATGCCTGGAGTGTTGGAATGGAAGTATTAGGCTCTTTAGGAAGGACAGACAGGGGAGACGAGGAGGGGGTGTCACCCTCTATGTTAGTAACCAGCTAAAGCTGTGCCTGGGGATGGATGACCCCACTAAGAGCTTATGGGTCAGGATTAAAGGGAGGGCAGGGACAGGTGACACTATAGTGGTGATCTGATACAGGCCACCTGACCAGGAAGACCAAGCAGATGAGGCGCTCTATATACAGATAGGAGCAACCTCACATTCACAAGCCCCAGTCCTCATGGGGCACTTAAACCACCCTGATATCTGTTGGAGGGACAACGCAGGAGGGCATAAGCAATCCAGGTTCCTGGAATGCATTGATGATAACTTCCTTCTCCAAGTGATAAGAGGAGCCAACAAGGAGAGGTGTCATGCAGGAGAGGTGTCATCCTCAGGGTAGCAAGGAGGGCAGAGAGCAAGCTCACTACCCTGAACTTCAAGGGAGCAGACTTTGGCCTCTTTAGGGACCTACTTGGTAAGGGCACCATGACACAAAGTCTGGGAGGGAAGAGGGGCACAAGAAAGCTGGTTATTATTCAAGGATCACCTCCTCCAAGCTCAGGAGTAATTCAACCCAAAAAAGAGGAAGACAGACAGAAGTGCCCAGAGGCCTGCATGGACAAATTCAAAAGGAAGGCTACAAAAAATGGAAGCAAGGGCAGGTAGCCTGGGAGGAATACAGAGAAATTGTCCAAGCAGCCAGGGATCAGGTTAGGAAAGCTAAACCCCTGAGAGAATTATATCTGGCAAGGGATATCAAGGGCAACAAGAAAAGCTTCTATAGGTACATCAGTGATAAAAGGAAGATTAGGGAAAATGTGAGCCTTCTCCAGAAGGAAATGGGAGACCCAGTTACCCAGGATATGGAGAAGTCTGAGGTACTCAACGACTTCTTTGCCTCAGTCTTCACCAACAAGTGCTCTAGTCACACCAGCCAAGTCATAGAAGGCATAGGCAGGGTACTAGGAGAATGAAGCAGCACCCACTATAGGAGAAGATCAGGTTCAAGACCATCTAAGGAACCTGAAGGTGCACAAGTCCATGGGACCTGACGAGATGCATCTGCGGGTCCTGAGGGAGCTGGTGGATGAAGTTGCTAAGCCACTCTCCACCATATTTGAGAAGTCGTGGTAGTCTGGTGAAGTTCCCACTGACTGGAAAAGGGGAAACAACCCCCATTTTTAAAAAGGAAAAAAAAGATGACCAGTCAGTCTCACCTCTGTGCATGGCAAGATCCTGCTGGAAAGTGTGCTCAGTCACATGGAAAATAAGGTGATTGGTGACAGCCAACATGGCTTCACTAACTGCAAATTGTGCCTGACCAATTTGGTGGCCTTCTACAATGGGCTTACAGCATTGGTGAATAAGGGAAGCGCAACTGATGCCATCTACCTGGACTCGTGCAAAGCATTTAATACCGTCCTGCATGATATCCTTGTCTCTAAACTGTAGAGGCATGGATTCAATGGATGGAGCACTCGGTGTTTAAGGAATTGGTTGGGTGGTTGCACTTAAAGAGTTGCAGTCAATGGCTCGATGTCCCAGTGGAGAACAGTGACAAGTGTTGTTCCTCAGGGGTCAGAATTGGGCTTGGCACTGTTTAACATATTCATCAGCGACGTGGACAGTGGGATTGAGTGCACCCTTAGCAAGTTTGCCGACAATACCAAGCTGTGTGGTGCCGTTGACACGCTGGAGGGAAGGGATGCCATCCAGGGCGATCTTGACAGGCTGGAGAGGTGGGCCCATGTGAACCACATGAAGTTCAACACGGCCAAGTGCAAGGTCCTACATGTGGGTCAGGGCAATCCCGAGTACAGCTACAGGACAGAGGATGGACAGAGAATGGATTGAGAGCAGCCCTGAGGAGAAGGTCTTGGGAGTGTTGGTGGATGAGAAGCTCAACATGAGCCAGCAATATATGCTTACTGGCCCGAAAGCCAACTGTTTCCTGAGCTTTATCGAAAACAGCATGACCAGCAGGTTGAGGGAGGTGATCCTCTCCCTTTGCTTTGGTGAGACCCCACCTGGAGTACTGCATCCAGCTCTGGGCCCCCCAGTACTGGGTGACTTGTTGGAGCAAATCCAGAGGAGGGCCACGAAGCTGATCAGAGGGCTGGAGCACCTCTCCTATAGGGACAGGCTGAGAGAGTTGGGATTATTCAACCTGGAGAAGAGAAGGCTCTAAGGAGACCGTAAAGCAGCCTTCCAGTACCTGAAGGGGGCCTACAAGAAAGATGGGAACAAACTTTTTATAAGGTCATGTAGTGATAGGACAAGGGGTGATGGCTTTAAGCTGAAGGACAGTAGATTTAGATTAGATATTAGGTCCCTTCCAACCCATACCATTATAGGATCCATTTTATGGTTTTATAATGACTTTATATTCATTCTGTATAATTTAAACCTGGTTAGACTATAAAACACATAGCTTGAAAGCACAGAACTTAATGAACAATTTGCACTGCTGTGGTAACAGAAATCAAGGTAATACTTCTGTCTTTCTGTATCACATTTGCATAAACTCTCTACATCTAGCCTCTTTGTATTGTGCTTCTCTTAAATCTCTTTTAAGAACAACCTGTTTTTAAAGGCAATATTTTTCACAGGGTTCATAAACATCAGTTTTATTTCACATTGTCCTCCTGTCAGCGTGTGCCAGTGTTACTGGTGTAGCAATCAAAGAATGCAATCCAACAGCTCAAGGTTAAGGTTATTTTTCTTCCCAACCCATATATCTGGTGTGACTTAACTCTGAGCCTCTTGAAGTTGCAGTGGCAGCAGGTATGGTATTGGAGAGACCTGCAAGAGTTCTCAGTTCTTTGACCTTGAGCTTTCATCTGAGGGTATCATCACTAGGTTTTCTAAGCGTATCTTCCCTGAAGCACAAGTGTCATTTTGGGTTTTCCAGGGTTTGTTTGGTCCCCTAGTCATCAGGCTCTGATGTTCCCTTTGCTGTCTCCTCATTTTCTTGCACTTCATCCAGCATTCCAAGAGTTTGCAGGATCACTTGTGAAACAGGAGATGACCAACATGCCCCGTGGTGTGTATCATTCTGCCTTGAGAGGAGGGACCACACGCTCAGATCAGGGAAAGACCATGGCAGGTGTTCCAAACTTCTTGCTGAAAATGTATGAGAGGAACAAACAACCAGGCATGACACCAGGCCTTGCAGGTAAACTGTCACTTTCTTGAAGTTAGGCAAGTATACATGCTTTGACCCAAAGATTTCTATGAATCTGAGAGTGAATCAGTTTAAGAAACAATGTCTTATGCCACTTGCATATGCTTACATGTGCTTTTCAGTACTGGCTTTATTAAGTTAACTTTGCTTTGGGTTCTCCACTGACTTATGCAAGACTTCTGCACTATTAGCATGAGTGTTGGTATTGACCTTTCTTTTCCCCTTCCTTCCCTCTTTAAGCTGGCATGTTGTTGTGTTACGACCTTCCGGTCCATATGGGCAAAGATGGCAAGCCTATTAAACGATTCCTGGCCAGCAGGGGGCGCAATTTCCAGCAAATGTTGGTAGCTCTCATTCATGAGGTAAGTTGCTGGCTTGTCTTCCCTTTTCAGTAGTAGTATGATTCCTTCCTTGCCTTACCACCTCGTTTATGCTAATTAGGAATTAGTAGCAGCTAGCAATGGCATGTGTGAATGTATCATAATTAATTAAAGTTGCTTGAAGGGACAACTAACTTGAACATGTAAATACTTTAAGTCTTGACTGCTGAAGTACCTTTTCTGAAAAATGAGAACAAACAGAAGCTGACCTTTGCCTTTTTCTGCCTAGCAGACATGTCATGTCTAACTGGTTGTAGGTGAATAGCAGGTCTGAACAATGATGGCACTTTGTGGGGAAATGACATCTGCACCTTGCTAAGACTTGCTATGTTATTCTCTCTTGCAAATGTTTCAGCTCCTTGACCTATTACGCTTACAGCACTGAAACCATGCACTTATCTTTGGTGTGGGTTTGGAAAAAGGGCACGAAATAAGCCCACACTTATTACAGTTATTACACTTCATTACAGAAGGTGGAGTGCTTGTAATGAAATCTTTCAGAGGGTACAGAATTATGGTACTTTTATGGTTGATATGAAAGTTAATCCTTGGAAATTTTGGAGAGCAGCAAAGTGAAGTAAGTAGTTAAACAGGAGCTAGGGAAGTAAGTGTTCTTTCCCCAATTCTTATGCCAGTGAGAGCAGTTACTAACACAAGTAGAAGTGTATTAATCTCTTTTTAAAAGTTCATAAAATAATTCTATTAATGTGATCATTTTGTATTGCTGCAGAGGTTAATTACATGCATCTGAGAGTGAAGTTTCTACTCAGAGGACATAAAAAAAGAATGTATGAATTAAGTCAGTGTGATATGAGCAAGAGAGCATAGGTGATGATGATTAAAACCTTCCATAAAATTTAGATTGAGTCTTAGGTAGTATGTCCAGGAATGAAAATAATATATGATTTTTTTTTTCCATCCCACAGCAGTACCAATTCCTGTTCTACTTTTCAAGGATAGAAAAGCTTAAATGGTCCCATTAATCCTCTTTTCCCTGTCCTAGGTACAGGCAGTTTGGTGCTATGAAAGATAATTTGATTGTATGCTGTTTTGTCCAGAGGAGCCTTTTCTTCAGAGCACAGGATGGGTCCTGTGTTGACAGTGAACCATAACTGTGTAATAAAATGAAGTGTTTTATCTAACAGTCGCAGAAGACTGTTTGTACTTGTTGCAGAAGTTGGAAGAGGTAGAATGAATGAGATATGGGTTGCAGGTGGGAGCATGTCTGGGTCCTGATTTTGGTTTGTAACTCTTCACCTCACAGACCTGGAGCCTACCCACTGCAAAATTCCTTTATGATGCTAACAAAATCACTGACACCGAACACTTTGTATTATGAAATAAGTATAGCACAGGGTTTGAGTGGGAACATTGTGTGCACAGAGTTTGAAGAGTTTTCTGTTTACAAAATGAGAGGCTGATGCAGAACACAGGTGTCTGCAGTGGAAAACACATGGGGGCTACATTCTGATCCTGTGATGCATCCACATGGCTTCCCTCCTGGTTTAGCTCTTGGGGTCCTACTTGTTCACACTGCATTCATACTGGTTCACTCTCTCAGTCTCTTTGGAGCAAACAAAATAGCTCCCTCTCTAGCAATCCTGTCTGCATCATAGTTTGCCTGAAGTTTCCAGACAAGCAATGTGAATGTGTACCATGCTGAAATTGGCTGCTTCTATCTAGTGCAGTCTTCCGGCTCAGTACCTGTCTCTCAAACACTTCCACATGCTCACACCTAAAATTTATACCTATGATACAACATCTTATTACTTTGGTCCTTCTGAACTTAAAAGCCACAAAAAGGAATAATCATGTCTTGTGGCCACAGACACACCAGCTGGGTCCCAGTAGAAGTTAGGCCAAGGGGTACAAGGACAAGAAGCCAGTTTGCACCAGTTGGAGTGGAGTGTGGAAATCCCTCCCTAGTGCTTTGTTATGAAGGCAGTGTCAACAAGGTTGTGAAGTAATTCAGATGGTAAGTTCTTCTCTCAAACTAGTAAAACTAAAAAACAAAAACCACCCTTAAACACAGATCTCAAAGTATCTAGTCATGTATGTAAATTTAATAGAAATTTTCCATCTTGACCACTTTACTGCTAAAGAATGAAAGAAGAAACTGGAGATAATACCCCGCATCATCACAGGAGTGTGCAAGTAAATAAATGAATGTTTTCTAACTGCTTGGATGCTCCAGTGGAGAGCACCAGGGGAAGTCCAGAAGGATACTGCAAAATATGGCAGAGGAGCAGATTTAGAGTAACAAGTTACGAACAAAGTGTGGGCTTGCATAGCATCCAGAAAGAAAAGCTCTGCCTTCTAGGTAGTTAGTTCATTCAGTGGGACCTGAGTTCAGCATCAGAGGTTCTGGAGAAAAACATATTGAATTATATTATAATAAAAGGCATGAAATAAAGTGTTGTGTAAGCTGAAGTACAGTAGTATGATCATCAATTCTAAACTACTAAGTCACCTGTTGCCCTACCAGAGCACCAAATACAATCTCTGGTAAAAAAATATTAAATTATTTATTTGTATGTACTAGCAGTGATTCTAACATCCAGCAGCACATCAAAAATTGACCTTTCTTGTGCTAACAAGCTACCTTTTGCATTACAGAAACACAACCTTAAAATGGATTGCTTGAGAAAGCATGGGGTTTTTTATTGAATGGGGTGAACTGGATGGAGTTAGTGAATACATACCAATGACTGGAGACAAACCGTGCAGACACGGTTTTTAATGTTATTTGAACTGATATCTCACGGGAGACAGAACATATGTTCAGTAAACAGTGATGCGTTTGAAATGCTCTTTACCTGGTCACTGGTGACTTGAAAGAGGATGATCATCCTTCTCCCAGAAATGGGGATGTGCTGTTTGATTGATTATTAAACAGAGCTTGTTAACCTCTCTTTGAGAGGACATGTAAGTTACTTTACTCACAGTGATCAAAAATCACATAGACCGTGGGGTTTTTTTGTTTTCTGTATGGCTGCCTGGATCATACCATACAAAGTCCGTAAGGTTTATCATGGACACCTGGGCTAGATTAGCTAATAATTACCTGTGACTGTTTCAGGTTTTGGAATAATTCTTCCTAGGAGTTTATGGCACTAATCTCTTACTAGCTTCACTTATCTCTGTGAAAGTGAAGGAAAATGAAGTCACATATGCTCACATCATGTACCATATGTTTTGATGTATCTGTAAATGTGTGGTTGGGTTAAAGTTATTAGGCTTTCAGCTAGCTACCCATCTTTTCTTTCTTTAGTGGAGGTGAAGGGAACAGTTCATGGTACATGCAAAAAGCACATAGGCAGCCTGCTTTTGGCAGGTAATGGTAGTGTTGACAGTTTGAACTGGTGTGGTGTTTTTAAAATAAAGGAGGATGGTCTTGCCTTTGCATGTTTCTCAATATTCAAGTGCTTTCTTTGTGTTGGAAATAGCAGTTATTTTGCTCTAATAATTAGCAATATTTACAGGCATAATTGCAAACTTGGGTGCCAGTGGTAAGTTTAATATACTACCCTACAAATAATAATCACGTTAGGCACTCTGTATACTCGTGGAAGAAGCATTATTTGCTTCTATTTTAAGCGCATTCATTAGATGTGCTGTGATGACGTGCATCTCTGAGCACTAAAGTGGAAAGCTCCTTCTGTACATTGCCTTCCTGGTTTGATTTTGATATAATCAAGAGATTCAAGTGCTTATTCAAACCTTGAACCTGAAGGACCTTGAGATGATAATTAGATTTTCTGAACAAAATTTACTGTAGTGATTCTTCTGTACCTAGGTATTCCAATGGTTGTAATTCAGATTATGGAGTACTTTGTGCTAGTTTCCACTATTGTATTTACTGAATGTCTCTGCCCCAGTGAGGCATCAGTTTTCAGGAAGTAAATTTGTTGACAGATTTTTGCTTTTTTCCTCCTCAGTCTAATGTGCCTTGGAGAAAGACTTTTTTTTTTTCCTCACAAAGGGCTGCATGCAAGTTTGTTAAAAAGAGCCTCTAAGCAAAATTTGAGATGAAAAGAGATGCTGCTTCACTATTTCATCAATATGCGTATGTGTCCTAGCCTTATTTATGAAATCACTGAGGCTGTAGTTTAGATATGTGAGAAAAGCATTTAAATACATGCCTAAACATTTCACTGGCATAGGAGTATTGTCTAAAATATGCTTTCAGAGACATATATTTGTTAGTGATGAGCTGAATTTATGAATTTATGAATTTATGAGTTGGCAGGGCTATCAAAGTGGAAACCTGTTGCACTTAATAGAAAAACTTATTGAGATACCCAATCTCCCTGCTTTACAGCAGAGTTTAAGATGGGTCATAAATATTAATGATATTGCAGTTTCTAGGTTCTTTAAACAGTATTATCTCAATTAGATACCCAGGGAAGTGATAGTTAATTTCACTGTTCCCTAAATTTGTTTTGTGTGCCCTCTGCTGGCTCTATATGTATCAGTGTAAAACAAGTCAGCAATAAATATACAAAGATGTGTGGCAACACAAAGGCACCAGTGCTGAAAGAAAACTCATCCAGATCTTGCCATGGTGTTTGACTTCTATTGGGAATGCACTGGAGAGGGGAAATGGGCTTCTGATGTCATTTGAAATTACTTTCCAGTCTTGCAGAAGCGTGCATAACTTGTGCTATGTGTATTCAGAGGTGTTGAGGTACAGGAGTAATATATCCTGTGGTTTGACAGAATTCTCTGTCTTGGGCTTTGACCAACACGGTCTCTGCTTGTGTGACTGTTTAAGGAGACATGTCCTTCTTAAGCATCAATCAACAGACTCAGATTACTAGCTCCTAGCTCATGCTGTTTCTCATTGTTTCAGATGTCAGGCTGCAGCTCTTGCTTGAAAACTACCTGGCAGCCTGGTCTGGCTGCCTCCTAAGAACATCCCAGGACCAGTGGGATCAGTGTTTCACAGCCACTCGCTGTTGCTTCAGAAGTCCCATGAGCCT